CTGTATGCGCTTGAGTTGGAATCATGGAGAATTGGATTCCTAATGACTACAAATACAAACGTTTGAGTCATTAAGCTACTGCACCCTCAGTGGCGCTCATCTATCCTAGCTATTGACCTGAATGCATGACTCTCTCCCAATTAAAGCTCCACAGATAACCCTGTATTTGCGCATTAACTGCATCAGCTACCGCCTCCAATGCACAGATATCTACCCCATCTCCCCAAATAATCGGTGACCGAAACTGAGACAGCTAGAACCATTGTACGATAAGTACATGGTTCCTACAGCTGATGGCGACTGCGACATACAAGGCTTGAATGCAAACTAGACACAAGGAGTCCGATCGCTATAGGCTTAATGCCAAGAACGTGGACGTGAGGTCCACGTATGCACTGCAATAGTCGGGAATTCGGACACGTGTTTTAGCAGTTCCCTTGCTTTTCACCCCTAAGATCGACATTCTACTTCGTTGAGTAGGTTGATACACAGCCACATTTTTCACAGCATCACTTGAATATATGTACGTAATTGTTTTTTCTATCCTACGACTTCAGTATCAGCCTGTCCAGCTCTTCTTTCACTCCAAACGTCAACCCTCACCCGATCGCTACCCCTGCTTCTCCTTGAAACACACTTCTTTTGAATTAACTACTTTTCACCTAGTTTGTGGATGCATGTATTCATACTTCATGAGAGACGAGAGCATCTTTCCTATCCACGCATAATAAATTCTCTGCCTCCGTTCCTTTTCAGCTGCTCTCTATTTTCGAAATTTTCGCGCGGCTACGTTCACATCGTTAACCCCTTTCGTAAATCATGCCGTGGACTTTTCCATCCGGGTAGGTGAATCAGCTTTGCATATGGTCAGAATATCGTCCGCACACATACACAACAATTTCCTACTGCTTCTGTTTCGACCCAGATTTCAGCCTTACTTCAACAGAGAGTTCAGTAGCGTACCTGCCATTGGTCATATCTTATGTGCCTTAAGTCTTTCAGGTCTAAATTATCTTCCTCTCCTAGTTGTTCGTAATGCCCACCCTCAGTGATTGTAATTCCGTGAATAATTGGTTGTCCTGGTAATGGTGCGTGATCGTCGTTCATTTATTGGCCCACACAATATCATCTGGTATTCAGGTGCCACGGCACTACGTTCAGAGAAACTTAAATCTGATGGTTGGGCGAGTGACGGCCATGAATATGTGAGATAATTTTTCTACATGACCAGCCGATTGGCTTACTTCAAGTATACTACTACAACATTGGGTTACCGAATCATGGCTAACTCTTTCAGTCCCATTAGTAAGCCATCGGGTGCTCTTTCAAGTTCTACCGTTGTCTTTTTTAAGATCGATATGTCTGAGCCGCACTGGTAGTTCCTGAAACGGTGTCTTTGGATTTCACCTTAGTCTCGCCAAAGTTGGGCACTGATCTGCAGTCTTCCTGGGTTTCCGGGCTCCTGCCGAAAGTGCACCGGTCGTTTTGCTTCTGTTTGGGGAGACATAAGTTCCATGAATCCAAGTTGTGCTAGGGGAAACACTCGGCATCGTACCCAAGTCGTTTCGGTTGCGACGTTTCAGGTCTAACCAGTGTTTTCGAAAAACAACACCAGGGAGACGGGTTTTCATGTGTGTTCGGTTACCTGATTCCGCACTCGTGCTACTTGCGATTTCGAATAAAAATGCTGATGTTTGTAAATGTGTCTCTGTTCAGCGTCGAAGTTGGATCCTACATTTTTAACTGGAACATGGGGTGGACTATTTGGGATTAGTTGGGACGCGTGCACACTGGCATTCGTGACAGTTCGCCTCAAATGTCTCTCGCACGTTCAGCTTATCCACACATAAAAACTGAAGACGAACTTCAGTTTCAGATCCTGCTCATGAACTGAACCTGTAGGCCAAAATTTGTCTGGCTTCTTTCTTAATGTTCACTACGCTTGTGTGTGTGTTTGTTCCATTCGTGTGGCTGATCAATCAGCTACGCAGTTGATGCACGTAAATGTCGAAATACGCCCATTTGCAAACTACAATGGTGGTAACGATATACTCAACTGATTCTTTCTTTTATGATGTTCGTCAGCTGAATCCGATGTACAATGACCGCCCCGAGTTTTAGTTGGCACGTTGCTGGAGATGTCGAATTACTCACAAGGTTCGACAGTCCACAAAAGGTTTCGCACTTCCATCTCACGAAAGGCTGTTTAACTTGAAATTATGGTAGTTAAACTAAGGTGTCTATCATGTTTTTGGTTCGGAAACAACAGGCCTTCAGGTTATCACAATGTGAGGTGGCGGTCAGTTTGGAAAACCAGATTTGTCGACGGTCATCACCCCATTCTATTTGGTTTTAACAGTCATATAGTGCTAAGCCTACCGAAATCCACTTGTCATTGAAATCCACCTGTCAGTGTAGGTGTCTGTAATCCCATACATTAATCGCTCTGTATAACAAATTCGAAAAATTTGGACTTTTTTCACACAGATGTTCAGTCAAGTAGACCCATCGTTCGTCACTACCTTACAAAGCCATGTGTCCGCTTGGACATACCAGTTTGGCTTTGACGAACGACTAGCCTGGAACCCAGCTGAGTCTCTCGTTTATGCTGTTTCCAAACAGAACATAAGGTTGACGGGAACTCGGGGGCTGCGCCTACCTGGTGAGCCCTGGTGGTCGTGGGTTGTCGGGGAGTTTTCAGCGACTTTATAAGTAGTGCACTACGTCTGTGTAATCGATATTTTTCAATAACATTCCATATTTTCTCAGCTGTCGTTTGCCCACATGGTACGATGTGGACTAAATTCCACTTCTGCACCTAGCAATAAGTGCCGTCGTGCCACGCATGCCTTTGATGACATGCTGGTCCATACGTGATCTACTCCGCCTGCCATGAATATGATAAGTCCGCTTTCCCGCTTGTGCTTCATCATCACGGACAGCGAGACATCAGTGTCCAACACTGCTGCTCCGCTGCCGCACTACTACGATTTTTTGAAGCCCTATCGTGAAGAAAAGAATAAAGGTGGACGTTGGAAGGGACTTAGTTTTAGCTTACTACGATCATTCCGAGGTGCCTACAACTTCAGACACTCATTCAGGCAGTGTGTGTAAAAACTGACAAGAACGTGACTGACATCAGTTGGCAGTCATATCTTGCAGCGTCTCCAACCAGGCGCACCGAGGATCATGCGGTCTCATCCTGGAAGGCGATTAGCATCGAAAGCACCCAAACACTTCTCTGCCAGGTCAAGGATTCGCCACTTCTGTGCTTCCGCCACTCGGAGTTGGGCATGGAAAACAGTACTCTCTTCGGCAAACGATGGTTTAGCATACGCAACACATGTCCCAACCAACGCAGCTTTTGGTGCGGGACACATTCTTCAGTGGAAGTACCCGTTGCACAACCGAAAACGCGCTTTCTAACTGCCTCGTTACGGCTACGCCGACGTCAACCCACACGAGCTATGACTCTGAGACAACGATTGCCGAACACCTGCAGACTTCTCAGTTGCGCTGCTCGAGTAGGCCAGTTCTCACAGCCATACAACCAAACAGCCCGCACTGTAGCTTGAAATACACTTCCTTTTAGGTTCAGGGATACACCACTTTGTCGCCATAGGTGTTTCAAATCAGTGAACGCGACCCGAGCCTAGCAGGTTCGTGCTTCGATCTTGTCTGTCACAACTTCCAAGATACCTAAAACGCCCCACAATTTCGAGTGCTTCCCCTGGGTTGTGAGTGGCGTGTTAAGTGACCGCGTGCCCAGGAGCATGAACTTGCACTTTGTGCGTGCAACTTGCATACCAAAGGACGTGATGCCTTCGGTCAGTTCATCCAAAAACACTTGCGTCTTCTCCTCTCCGAAGACGGAACGATATCGTCTGCATATTCCAGATCGGCGAGGTTTGTGTCACAGGCTTTTCGAACGCTGTGGTTTTGTAGACCCAGCATTCGTCTCATGATTTGATCTATCCGGGAGTTAAATAGGAATAGAGAGAGAGTGAGCATCTCTGACAGGCACCGTTTTGTGTGCGGAATCTTTTGGAGAGCCCGCGTCCGGAAGTTTGGGAATACAAAGAGCGTATTGTGTTCACGAGCTTCAGGGGCATTAGGGACGAGATAGCTCAGTGGTTAGAGTGTGGTAACCGAAAGGTCCCTGGTTCGAACCCGACCTCTGCCTCTCGACTTTCCCTGTCTAGGCTTGGGAAACCTGGCAGTATCCCAGCCCTCGTGCTTCCTTCTGGTGGCATTGCAGTTAGGCACCGAAAGGGTGTTACAGTCGAACGATTTCCGGGGCATTCCTAGGCGGACTTGTGCTTTCATCCAGTCAAATTTGAATTTCATATCTACGAGTGTTGTTTTACAACGACCTACGTGCAAAAGTACCAAGAGCATATGAATGGATTCTCAACGTGTATACTGTGAGGAAGCCAATGGTTTCATATTACAGTCATCCCCATGTGAGATCCTTTGGATCAAGTCCCCAAGTGGAGACTGATTTGCAGTTCCTTAAGGAATTTTTCGGTTTAACCAACAGAGAACTCCGTTATGATGACTAATTCCAGACGCGGACCACGCCACCTTTCCTGTGGGAAGATGGGTCACGTGACTTGTCGGTAGCACCTGTCAAATACCATCGATAGTTGTTCCATTCCCACTGGTTGTTTTGTTGTGCTTCCAGAGCGCATTCTACACATGCCTAAAATGGGTGTAATTTCTGGATGAAAGTCCTTTGATCTATCAACTGTTCGGGGCATCAGCGAACGTGTGTTAGGTCGTATGGGTCCACTTACACTGCACTACTCTTTCTACAGGTCGTCTTTATCGGCATTTAGCTTATGCCAGTCTCCAGGTTCAGAAACTTGCCGGAACAACGTGACTGTTCAGATTCTAGTCAAATTCGTCACCGTGATCATGGACACACTGGGATACCGGCTCCGCGTTTTGACACTACACATTCTAACAGGGTCATACTAGGGGAAACCAAGCTCATGCATTCATATTAGCACCGGACCCGGCTGTTGACTGGTCATGTGATTGGGGTACGGAGCGTGTGGAATTCGGAATCTTACAATCGGTGACACCACGTTACCATGACGGTGATCCAACGGGCTCACTGTGGACCGGTTCTTTACCATATGCGTGTGTGCACCACATAAATGGCTTTCTGTCATTGGCTGTGTTGATGCAGACTGGTGATGAAACGGGAGTATGGGGTCACAGGGAACGGCCTCATGCGTTTGTGCTTCCAGCCGTTCTTCAAGTTCTCGGTGAAAATCTATGGTCATTGTCGTCATTCTTTACCAGACACAGTAACATCAGTCTTGTCGCTAATAATTCACTAACATGCAGCCACAAATTCACTTAACTATAGTTAGAACCCCGAAGTGAAAAGGAGAGAGTGGGTGAGGGAGGGAGACGGTACCAGCCTATCGCAAACAATTCATGGTAGACATTTACATGCCTCCAGTATTTTCATTCTGACGACGCACGTTTATCTCCTTGTGGTTCTTCCAGCTAACCTGAGTCATAATAACTATCGGGCATGGTCCTATTAAGTATTTAATGGAGCCTTCGCATTCCAGCGGTTGTTTTTAACCGCATCCTTTGATCTGAGCGCTGACAGCCAGAAATGCCGTACTAGTATCCTGGTTCATACGCGTGCAACCCTACTATTGGACTGAACTACATGCTAGAAAGGTCTGCATGCAAACTGCCTGTCTCGTGTTATCCGAAATTTTCCTGTTCGAAGAAAGTGTAGGTTTCCACATAATCGCAGAATTGCTTCAGGACATCATGAAAACGTGAAAACATGGTCGAGCGCTCAGCACAAATGATGTAAGGGCCCCGTCTTACGCCTGAGCTTCACTACATTGAGGATCTTATACCCCAAACCTTGGATCGATAGGCTTGGATCTGTGCTATTTGCAGCTCGCAGGCCAAAGTACGGTCGATCACGTGACTTCTCGAACGCGTGCTCCATTTTAATTGCTGCGTAGCGGTGACTATGTTTGCTCTTTGCTGTCTTGTCACTGAAAAAATGTGTTTGGACGTTCGGCATGCTATTTACTTATCCCTTTATGGAAGAAACTGGTTTCTCCTAGTTATCTTGTCCTCGGTATTTAATGACCACATGACGTTAAAAACAGGCGTCAAACGTTTAGTTGCATTTGGGAATCCGACACTTTTAAGCCGCAGTAATGTCACTTAGGCAACGAACTGACGATATAGATCCATACGTTTGCCCAAACTGCGTTTGTCACTTTTGTGTGTACAGCTTCATCCCATATGCTGAACAATCGTCATAAAGCCTGTTCATATCCTCCTGTAACTTGGACGCCACCTATTGAGTGTTCTTTGTTGAAGGCTACACCAGTATGCATTGATTTTCGTTAAGAGGAGTCATCTGAAGTGGAGCTCGTAATAACTCAGTGATTAAGGCGCGAACATACTGACCGTAGGATCCGTGGTTGGAACCCAACCTCAGCCTTCCCACTGCTGTCGCTTAGGTTTGGGCAACATGGCAGTAGCTCAGCCCTCGTCCCTTTTTTTCAGGTGGCACGGCAGCAGGCACCGAATTAAAAACAGGCGTCAAACGTTTAGTTGCATTTGGGAATCCGACACTTTTAAGCCGCAGTAATGTCACTTAGGCAACGAACTGACGATATAGATCCATACGTTTGCCCAAACTGCGTTTGTCACTTTTGTGTGTACAGCTTCATCCCATATGCTGAACAATCGTCATAAAGCCTGTTCATATCCTCCTGTAACTTGGACGCCACCTATTGAGTGTTCTTTGTTGAAGGCTACACCAGTATGCATTGATTTTCGTTAAGAGGAGTCATCTGAAGTGGAGCTCGTAATAACTCAGTGATTAAGGCGCGAACATACTGACCGTAGGATCCGTGGTTGGAACCCAACCTCAGCCTTCCCACTGCTGTCGCTTAGGTTTGGGCAACATGGCAGTAGCTCAGCCCTCGTCCCTTTTTTTCAGGTGGCACGGCAGCTAGGCACCGAAATGATACTGAACGACTATTATTTTCTACTATTTATCTGAAGTCGATAATGTGTGTGTGTGGATGAAAATGCAACTGTACTGTCGATTTCGAAAGGTTTGACTCCTGATGAACCGGCAAACACCGAACGTATTGAGAGAACCCATGGTAGTCGGAAACGACAAACAAACAAGCGTGGTCAACATGCACTACATACCTTGGGCTAGCACCAATATCAGCGGTGTACTTCTCCGCTCTCCTTTTGCCGTCCGCTATTTAACACATTCATGCACGCACGGTGCGTCTGCTTCCATATTTCCTACCACGATCCAGTTACCAACCGTCTTACTGATTGGTTAGTTGAAGATGGAGGCGAATTACGATGATTGATCAGACGCACTTTCATCGATAAAGTTAATCAATGTTTTCCACAAAACCGCCACTGTCTTGCCTGTCATTTCGCATCAGACACCACTGCCAAAAATGGTTCCTGTATGGCGGTATTAGTGCACAAATCACTTGGCTGGTCATATTGATAATGTTCTAAGGAAGGAACGCATATACTATTTCTGCTCCCGACCTCTAACCGAACTTCACGGAACATCCTAGGAATTCTAAGGTTCATGATGTAAGTACTCACTACACCCGTGGTCAACGCAGTGGTGTTCCCCGTGTTGAACCATGACAGAGAGATTGACTACACTCTTCGAGGAATTGCACGGTATGTGGTTGCTGATGGGGAGCTCTGCAGACGAATGGCTTCACTCCATGTGGTTTCTTCAGAGGGAGAAGGTTATTGTACCGGTATTCAGCGGCCTAACACTGGAACAATACACTTTAGGGCATAACTGAGACGAGGCGAGGATGCGTACTCGATACTTAAGAATCCTAAGCGTAACTACTAAGTCGGTTTCTACTAACTACTATTAACTACTAGTCGGTTTCTATAACCACTCGTTTTGTGATATGAGTGAATGGATCATGGTTCTCAGCACTAACACATTCGAAGCATTCCAGTCTTGCATTCTTAATTATTTTCTCTTAAATGGGACCCACTACATCGTTACCAGCCAGTTGTATGCTTCTCACCACACAGCCGTCGAACAAGCTAACTGAATTCGGCCGGTTGCAACGTCCCGTTACTGAAAGGGGCCCAGGTAAAGTAAACATTCACGATTGCATCCGGCTGCTACAACGCAGTGGGAAACGATCACTAGTCTCCTTTGGGGAGAGGGTCACTTCGTATCGTGTCTGTTGTTGCTCGGCCTACGGCGACCAACCATACTGCTGACTAATATACTGCATTACTATATATTATTATATTTTGTATTCTTATATATATTGTCACTGTTTCATATATACCATATGCTATGTCAATATGCTATGCACTGGTATCCATGGTTCCATCACATCTCGTGATGAGTTGGCAATAAGTTCTGTCACCACCCCTCCACCCCGAGCGTTGGCTTCAATTAGATGTTCTTGTGAACGCTCATAAACATACCTAACCTGAAAGCTGTTCAGTTCCTGCAACGAAATATTCATATTCTAAAAAGATGTTCCTGTAAAGTCTTTTCGAACACCTTACGGTGCATTTTTTAGTCTTCCGACTATGTGTTGGCCGCCAATCCATCCTGTTTATCACTGTCTCATTCAAGCAGTATTGGGATAATACCACTCACGTCTATGTGTGTGTCATCTCAAATGCTCAAACCAGCCAACTGATTTACTGCAGAACGGTTGATCTTCAATAGCGTTACTCATCGATCGTTTTGCTCCGGGATATCATTTGAGATGCGCACTAGATAATAAATCAGATATGTACTTGAAGATCATTTGACCATTTAAGTTCACGCAGCTTTTTCGTTATACATCCTTAACGATGTACGCAAGTTGATGGTTGTGTCGTGTTGGAGGAACGGTTATTCATCAGACCCGGCTAGTTATAGTTCGCACTATTTTTAGGATTATTCCGGAATCAATTCACAATGAGCACCCATAACAGTACAGCTTAAATCTACTGTCGCTCGTGCTCTTCGCAGTTTCGGACAGCACAGTTGTCTGCCTCAGCTTTTCCGAAATACAGGAAATCAAGGGCTGATATAACACCTAGCCTCCGAAGCGTCGTCGACAAACCAACGAAAAATCTTTCAGGTAACATGTCCGTGCGATGTCAAGTCTTCCTCATACAGAGTCAAATCAATCGGCACCGGAATGTTGACAGGGTTTATTCAATGAGCACCTTCCAAAACTCTGGCTTGTCATTCAAGCACAGACCGCCTATAGAGTGCTGTCACTTTAGTTCACTCTGGTTCGAAATCGCAAGAAGCGCATGCTTATCGTTCTCGTGTAGGCTAGAACAATTTTACGGAATAGCGTATGCAATCTCTGCAATGCGTGCCGGTATACATCAAATCTGGTCAAACAACGTTCACCTTCTCCTAACTGCGAACACTAATAGTCTTCAAGTACGCTCATTTCACCGTCTTTTCACCTCGTTTCCCATATTGTATGTTTCTTAATGTTTCACTCGTCCAGGCTAATCCCAACGTTGACGCACCAGCCAACTCCCAAGGCCACCACCTGTGGGTTGGGTGTGTGCTAAAAATACCTGCCATCTGTATGTTGCTTGGGTTTATCGATCTACGCGGAAGCGTGTTTTGCAAAATACACAAATCCCTGCTTGCTTTTATGGGGGAAATATGCCTTCTGGCACGGTTTGTGATGCCGTGGGTGATCACCGTTCCCTTGTTTTTCTTTTGATTGCCTCCGCATTAAGTTCACGTTTTTCGTGCGTTGCCACTGACTGATCGGATGCTGCACCTACTGACTCTACTGATGGCCTATTTGTGGTCTGTTTGTTCCTGCATTGTTTTGTGAATAAACCTGGCAATTTCTTTTTTTCCCCTCTGTCACAAATTTATTTGTCTCATGCGTTATCATGTAGGCAGACATAGCCTCCCGGAGGATTCGCTGATGAATTCGCCTAAGTCGGTACAGCATGACCGCTGGTGGTTTACAGATTTGTCCTCCAAAGCAACATTTATGGATCGCGTTATGTCTGATCGTTTCTGCATTCAGCGACCAATGCATTATTGCTTGTTGTTTCCTGTTCGAGATAACTTTATGAGCGCGCTGTTATTAGTGTTTGGTGTGCTGGGTCAATGAGACGTACTCACATGTGTCGCGTGGCGCCTGCCTTTCCAACTATTCCGCTTTTATTTTACAATACAATTGGTATTTTGATCAGATCCACGTAGAGATCTCGAACCAGTGAAATTACTTCAACTCCACTCTATAAGTTAGCAGTCCATGCCGGGTAGATAAATGGATTCTCTAGTAGTCTTTACTTTGCAAGACGCTGACGAAAGTCTCCTCTCTAGAAAGCTATTCAACCCATGCTCTTGCATTCTGCGGGACACTGTAACGTGTAATCTATTATGCCTCAAGCCGTTTTTTCTACAAGCCAGTTCCTTTCAAGTCTTTCCTAATCCAAGGTTTCCCAAATGTGAACAACCAGGACTCCCGAACGTTAGTTCCTCTAGTATCTGGATCGCTGTCCCACTTTCCACAGGTTGTCTGGTTAGGTGTGTGTTTTTCTAAACAAAGGGGGTCGGTTCACATCTTCGGTTTTGAAAAACGTACCTGCTTTGTTTTCTTCCCTGTTGCATCCCACTTCATTTCCTTCCCTCTAAGGCAGGTCACCACAAGGAGAGTGTTTGATTTATCTTTGGGGTGGCCCATCCTCGAATGCCTTCGAGTGACTTCGGTTTCATCTTTAGTAGATGTGTTTGACCTTCACATTCTCCTTTATTCCTCGTTCATTTAGTTCTATGGCTAGCGACAGTCGGTCGCTGACGCTCAGAGTGCATTTACCTGAAAAACGGCTCACGAAGATGTTGGCTTTCGACGCGCAAATGACCGTGGCTAAAGCTTGTGAACATATACGGAATCAGTTGCGTGAATTCGAACTCACAGGAAGCGGTGAGTTATATTCCTTTTATGACTGTATGAGCTGTGTTGATGAGCGATTCTCGGTCCGTACATGATTGTTATCGACAGCTGACTGAATCAACTTAACTTCAGTGGATTTGAACCGGGAATGGTGAGCTCAATAGGCTGTGGGTAAAGACCTACAAATTCTACTTTCTACTGATTTGGATTATCTCCCATTCGTTGTGGTTCCAGTTGAACTTTAACCATTTTTTGTCAGGGAAAGTAACCCAACTGGATAGCCGTAACATGGAGTTTGTTGAAGGTCTCTAGCGTTGGATTTCAGTAAGGGGACTGGAGGATTCCGATGGGAATCTTAAACTCACACACACAAACGTATCGAGATGCCTCAGCAGTCACGTGTGAATTTACTGACAGAAAGATCCGTGCTTTGAACCCAATCTCTGCATCTCGACTGCTGCTTTTTGGACTTGGGCACCATGACGGTATCACACATCTCACGCTTCCTTCGGGTGGCATGATGGCTAGACGTCGGAAGCCTGCTACAACTGAGAGATTTCGATATCCGCCACAGGAAGTCATTGTTGTTGTTAACTTAGGACATTGTGAGCCGTAGCAGTGTTCAAGCACACAAGAAAACACGTGGGTCCCTGCTCCAGCTTTTGATGCAGGCTTTGCATCAAGACTAACGGGTTCTCACGGATTGTGCTGCTCAAGCGCTGCTTTTACAATTGTGCTTGTAGAGCCATTAGTCCAGCTATGTGATCTATACGGGCATTCGAGTGTGCGACGCCGGCTTTAATCAAATTCACTAACTCTCGATTTAGCCATAAATGAGGTATCGCAGTTCTACCTTAGCGCAACAATAGGTAACAATGGTCACCTTCGTTTAAATTATTCAAAACTACTCGGGTTAGTCGGCAATTCGGTGGGTCACCATGCGTCCATTATTCATCATCATCATCATCATTGTCAGCTGTAGTGACCGCGTATTCGTCGTGCAGTGGTTGTAGCTGCCGCAGTTTCGTTCACCGATGATTTGGGGGGGGAGGAGGTAGGTAGCTGCGCATTGCAGGCGGGAGCTGATAAATTGGTGCATAAATCCAGCACTGTCAGTGGGCTGTCAAGTGGGGGTTGGGGTTGGAAAAGGAGTTATGCATTGAAGGCACTAGCTTTGATGCATGAGCGCCATTGAGAGCGCGACTGGACCATGTCTGACAATGTCTCCAGCCGTTGATGTGGCCCGTCTCGGGTTCCCCATCCAGGAAGACGGCAATTACCAGTGCAGCTGAGTTTGCTTGTAATGGCTTTCACACTTCGCTGCCAAGTAATTGTTCGACCGCCTCTGGCTCTCTTCTACCCTTCACGTGGTTGTGTGAAAAGAGCCCTTCGAGGAAGTCGGTCGACTGGCATACGCAGCACGTGGCCAAGCCAGCGCAACCTGTGCAGTGTGATCAGTTCATCTATCGACAGACTTTCCCTTCTTAGGACAACGGTAGGTTCTGTCAAATCGCAAGTATTTTCCATCCGATTAGGTTGTTTTTCTGGTCACCAGAAGGGGCATATTGCATTCCTCTCAATTGAGGGCGCTGATCAAGCGAGAGAACCCATCCTGGAAAAGTGGATCCCTATGTGTTGAAACATTTAGGTAGTAATTTGTTGGTGGCCTGTTTATATGGAATGCCATGTACCGTAGAACCCAGATTGGCATCAGTGCCAGCCAGAAACCGTACGAATCCGGTTAATCGCCTGCAAACCAGGCGCCGGTTGGCGAGTCGTCGACTTCCCGCTCACTGGATGGTTGGTCTACTGGGCGAGCAACCGGGAGCACTTATGTGGAGAGTGTTGTTCTCCTTGATTCATATCCTTCAAAAAAACCAACCATTTTAAATAAACTAAATTATTCTGACGCATAGTTTGTGATGCACCTCACCTCTGCAAAGTGTAAAGTGCTGCTACGAGACTGGATGGGATCAAATCCGAACCTCATGCTTGCAGACAAGCCAACCGACGTGGTAGATAGATTAGTTTATTTGGGCAGTTTGGATGTTGCCATCTCTCTTCCGTTAAAATTAATCATGACATCTCATTCTCAACGTATAACTTTAAATAATATATTAATAATTGTTCAACCATAGAACTTATTTAAGTACAATTTGGAAAAGGCATTAAATAGGTTGTCCAAACCTAGACAGGATCAATTGGAAAGCCAAGGTGGACTCGAATGGCACACATTACGACCATTAGTTTTGCTCCCCAACCACTGGGCTATCCCGAGCTTTTCTAAGCGTGTAGATTTTTCGGGTACTAAAACATTTCAAGCAGACTAGCTTCCAGCGAACAAACGCAACTCCGCCATTCAGCGCAAAATCATGAACCAGTCTTGCCACCTGGTCATAGCAATCCTACTGCTATTGATCGTGATAGTTAAAGCGATCCACCCTGAATAATATCTGATAATCGTTAAACCTAGACAAAAATATTGTCCTGAAAGTATGCTTAGTCATTGCCGAGACAGTGCGTCGATGGTCCTGTCATCTCGTGTCATGGTAATTGCCCGGGTACGTAAATTGTCCGTGAAAGAAGAGCGCAACTTTTTGGCTGATTGCCTTGCAGTTTTCCTGCATTACATCCCGTTTACTTTCTTTCATAGCACGTGGGTTGCGGCCTACCGTGCCATTGTGATTTTATGAAGTACAGCTCCTGTCTCTAATACAAATCGCATGCTGACCTAATGGGTCACTACCGCTGTTCTTGACAAATAAAACATTTATTCTGAGAGCTATTGAGGACTGTTACTCTCGTCATCAGTTCTGAGTGAATACAATTAATTCTGTCGTTTGTAGCGTTTAACGCCTTGACCTCACCTCACTGCCATGTACTTCAGTTTGACCTTAACAATAATGTTTATGCAATGATAATACATTGACCGGTTCAAAAGGACAGCTGCCTGAAGTTTGGCTCTTGAACGCATGCAAGGGGATTGCTGACACGAAAGAAAAAGACAAAAGTTCGCATGATTATTTCGCAAATTTGGGACATTCCACCAAGTTTAGTGAAATTAGAGCAAATGTTCCCCGCACTGAGTTACGGTTCCGTTGTCAGGCACACCCAGTGCTAATGAATTACACAATCTCTTTGGCATCCATCGGTTCTTCCTGAGAAGTATGGCAATTTTTGACTGATGGGTCCGGTCAGTAATCATCTCAATAAAGGTAAATTGTTCTTTTCTGAAAGTTGTTTCGAGATCCCTCCTTCATGATAACCGTGTCTACTGTGTGTCCCATCTCCATCCCCTGAGTGAACTTACGACATGAAATTCTGGCATCTTGCACGCGCTTTCATACCCAACTGAGCTGTATGTCTGGTAACGAGTAAACTTAACTATCATTGTCTTTCTATTTTGTATTTTGGCTCGAAAAAAACAGTCCGTCTTTCACAATGGGTTGCGTTGTTCTTTTCTGAAAGTTGTTTCGAGATCCCTCCTTCATGATAACCGTGTCTACTGTGTGTCCCATCTCCATCCCCTGAGTGAACTTACGACATGAAATTCTGGCATCTTGCACGCGCTTTCATACCCAACTGAGCTGTATGTCTGGTAACGAGTAAACTTAACTATCATTGTCTTTCTATTTTGTATTTTGGCTCGAAAAAAAAAACAGTCCGTCTTTCACATTAAATGGGTTGCGTTCGTTAAGATGTGTACAGTAGACAACAACCCTGCTTGATGAACAAGGAGCCCGTGTGTTGGATCAAGAAACGCCATGTTAGTTAATCTCACCCTTCAGGCCAAGGGGTTAGGCGAATGTTCACCCTGGCAAAGACACCTGCAACACTGAATTCTGCATATTATTCTGCTCATCTACGGTGTGTCACTGAGTTTTTCCCGCCCGACATCGTTTTGGAGAGGCAGCTTCCTACGGGCTTATTTAATTTCCCACCGAACTTGTGGAAATATACCCTCAAGCACTCAGTATTGTAATATCAAACTAACATTTGATCTCCCGGAAATTCACACAGGCACCCGTCTACTCTTGCAGTACATTTCAACCAATGGTGTGTGTTACCTCTTCAACCCCTGACCACAGTTGATGCGTTTCCGATCGTAGGTCACAGCATATGAAAATACCTGCAACACTGAATTCTGCATATTATTCTGCTCATCTACGGTGTGTCACTGAGTTTTTCCCGCCCGACATCGTTTTGGAGAGGCAGCTTCCTACGGGCTTATTTAATTTCCCACCGAACTTGTGGAAATATACCCTCAAGCACTCAGTATTGTAATATCAAACTAACATTTGATCTCCCGGAAATTCACACAGGCACCCGTCTACTCTTGCAGTACATTTCAACCAATGGTGTGTGTTACCTCTTCAACCCCTGACCACAGTTGATGCGTTTCCGATCGTAGGTCACAGCATATGAAAATACCTGTTCACTCCTGTCTCTCTCTCCCCCCCCCAGTTCTAAACGCAACATCATTATTTATAGCGTGGTCGGACGCATCTAATCAATATGCTGCACGTATTATTTATACGGTGACTGCAACAGCTGCTCTAGTCTATGTCTCGGATAAGCCGAACCACTCTTTGTTTATGGGCTTAGTTCACCCGGTTTGCGACGGCCTGTCCCTATTCCCTGCCAACAAGCTATTGTTTTTATTCGGCAGCACTGATCAACCACCCATTGTCCTGCACAGCTCACTTGCTTTTTTGCGATGAAGTGGGTCCACTTTAATCCAGCACTTGAACAACTTATTTTGGACTGGAAAACTCCATTCCAACTGTGAGGTTGTGAGTACTTGAGATCTGTTGGTAAACTTTTCCTTACAGCTGATTTGCTGCTAACGTGTTACTTACTTGAACTGAGTAGTGTCGGCGGTATCACTCATCGTGTATCTGTTGTCTGTATGCTTGCTTCTTACATGAGATCATGTGTACCTTCTCCTTTATTTCAGCCAAAGATCACGGGCTTTTCTTGCCCCATGAGGATAACAAGAAGGGTCTGTGGCTGGATAACTCACGAACACTGGAGCACTATATTCTGAGAAATGGAGTAAGTTGTTCTTTGCACAGATTTGGCTCCGCTGAATGATTTTCGCCAAATTTCTGACCATACAGTAAACCCCCCTCCCTACAGCGACAACTTCGCTGTGGTCGGTCCTTTGTGTGCGTTTCCACCACTCTGGGTGCAATGGTTTGGGCAAATCCTCTGTGCAATTTTCCTTCGTCAGGACTAGAGTATAAATGTATATCTTATACCGAGGTGCACTGCGTTTAACGAGCACTCACAGACCACACTGCGCGCATTGAATTCCATGCCTCACTAGTTCTGTCAGAATTTGTTGCAGAGTTTTTACTCCATGTACCCGAATACGTTCGTTGATTGTCAGACGTGACTTGCATCCTTCACTCCGTGTTTTTTACTTCACCGATGGTTAACTCCGGTAGATTTACGCTTCTGTGTTCGATTTAAACACCAGTACCGTTTGTTCATCAAATTTCGCTCTCTTGGAAAACAGATGAGCTGACCAGTGGTATTCACTGTTTTTCTTGTCTGAGGGCTACAACAGAGTTTTAGCTGGTAGACTAAGCAGCATTTTGTCACTTTTCGTACTTTCCACACAGATAAGTACAAGCTTTTCTGGCAATAAACGCGCTAAAAAAATGTAAGAATCTCCAGCACTGATTTCAAGGACAACCACAACACAACTGTCATCACAGATGTCGGCAGTGTGGCTCACCTTCGGCTAAGTTTCTATCGAAGATCGCCACACTGCCTGTTGATTTTTCTACGGCAAAATTTTAAGAGCACTCGTGATTCTTTGTAACAATCGAAGAACCATAGGATGCATGCTGTATGTTGATTTCGGTGGGAACACGGGACCAGCAATGCTGAAGTTCGTCGAATGGTATTCGGGAAAAATAGCTAACCCTCGATAGATGAACTGATCACACTGCTTAGGTTGCGCTGGCTTGGCCACGTGCTGCGTATGCCAGTCGACCGACTTCCTCGAAGGGCTCTTTTCACACAACCACGTGAAGGGTAGAAGAGAGCCAGAGGCGGTCGAACAATTACTTGGCAGCGAAGTGTGAAAGCCATTACAAGCAAACTCAGCTGCACTGGTAATTGCCGTCTTCCTGGATGGGGAACCCGAGACGGGCCACATCAACGGCTGGAGACATTGTCAGACATGGTCCAGTCGCGCTCTCAATGGCGCTCATGCATCAAAGCTAGTGCCTTCAATGCATAACTCCTTTTCCAACCCCAACCCCCACTTGACAGCCCACTGACAGTGCTGGATTTATGCACCAATTTATCAGCTCCCGCCTGCAATGCGCAGCTACCTACCTCCTCCCCCCCCAAATCATCGGTGAACGAAGCTGCGGCAGCTACAACCACTGTACGACGAATACGCGGTTACTACAGCTGACAATGATGATGATGATGATGGTAGACTAAGCCTACTTAGTTGCCATGCGAATGACCACTCCTTTCTCCAGTCGAATCTAGTTCGGCCCATTCTGATGTTCCAGTTGAATAGCATCGTCCACTTTTCAACGCCTACGTTTGAGATCCACTGCTCCGCCCTTCCTGTATGCGATCTGATGCAGTTGATGTCTTCTGTGGTACAGGAGATAGATCAAACATAGAACCCATGTGCTACAGTTCCATTATCCTCGCATGGTCTTGGCTGCAGCACCCTTTCGGTGCTTAGCTGCCGTCTGAACGGAAGGAGGCATGGGGGCTGGGATGTTGCCAGGTTGCCCAAGCCAAAACAGGAGCAGTCGACTCGAACCAGAGACAATTACTCAGGTCGTTCGTTTTACTGATTATGATTGACCAGACCAGTTCGCCTTTCCACAGTGCCTGCATTATTGTATTCACATCTGTAGTTCGCTTATCTTTTTTGAAGGGTATGCGTAAGCTGTACACCAACTCGCATACTTGTCCGTCAATCAGAGAGGTTATTTCGTGTTTGTTATGCATGCTGGAGGATGTCAATTATCTCCCAGCTCCGCCTCATCGTCGTATTGTAAAATCGTGAGAACCGTGTCATTTTTTTGCACCTTAGAGCCTCGTCTGTGGTTCCCAGTGCAGCCTGGCTAGAGAGGTAAAGGTTGCTGTGTGAAGAAAAGCGTACAGGGAAGGACAGGGAATGCTGATAGAAAGTTTACCGACCATATTGTTGATATGAGACACGACCCACTGAGAAACGCTGCCATATCAAGAGCTGTTTCCAGTCATTGATGACGGTTATCAGTATGAAGAATGACCTTTGTATACAATTTTTGCCCACCGTTTTGGAGTCTCTAAGCCTCGTCATGCTACATTGACCGCTTGCGCGTAAAGGCAGATGTTTCTAGGGTTCATAAACAGGAACTATCCTTTCGAAAACTTCTGGACGAGAGCTAAGCCATAAGGGAAGCCAGGATGTCTGTCCTCTGGCGGATTAATGTATTCCTTTCCGTGACGATTTCTTTCCAATTCCTGTATACCTCTTCGCCCCAAGAATCATGAGGGAGAAAGATTTCTGCATGAAATTTAGCTTGCGTTTCCTAACAGTGAATTTTCTAACTAGAGTCGATAATTGATTTCCCTAAATGGGAATGTCATACCTGTTGTTTATTCAGGGAAGTCAAGTGTCTCACAATTCCCGTTAAAGCTGACTTCCTCCCCTTTTTGTTCCCATAGGACACGGTTCAGTACCGCTATCGAAATCGCTGGCTGTACATTCGAACGATGGCCGGAGTGCAGAAAAAGTTGTTAGTTGATGATAGCCAAACAGTGGCCGAACTGATGCGCAAAATATGCTCGTCCATGGGTAAGCTGTTCGTTTCCTCTTGTGTCCACCGCTCGCTGTTGCGACTATCACTGCGTATGGTCTTATTTCGTATTCCTATCTACACACCCACGCCGGGAAGTTTCGTTCGCGTGTGCGTTTTTCATGTGTGTCTGCGTACATTCGATTTGCTTGTGCGTGGTCAGTGGATACGGTCCTATTGAACAATCATAGTTAGCAGCTTCACGCCTGGTATCCAAACTGGCTATCTGCAAACTCGTCATGATTAACTCAGCCACGATTTGCTAGCTAGTCCAGGCACTTGAGTACCAACAGAATATACTAACTATTGTTAGCTATTGTTGTCGTACTACTCGGGATGTCGGTTGTGGGGAATGAAAGCCGTTGCATTCAATTTACATCACAGTTTGGTATACGAAAATCGCTGACCAGTCTGCACATATCTACACCGAACACGGCACTAGTTGTTGATTTGACGACAACTTTTGCTATCCAATTCGGTGGCGCTCTGTTGAACCCACCGCTCAGATAGCTTTATTCTTTTGTAAGAAAGAAAAGAAATTGTCCAGCTGTAGCACCCTTTCAGTACCTAACTGCCATGCCATCCGAAGGTTGCAAGAGGGCTGGGATACCGCCAGGTCGTTCAAGCCTGGGCAGGGGAAGTCGAGAGGCAGAGGTCGGGCTCGAGCCACGGACCTTCCAGTCAGTAAATTCGCTCTCTAACCACTTGAGCCATCTTGGACGAGATGGCCCTCGGGCAACCCTTGGGTGGCATGGCAGTTAGGCACCAAGAAGGTGCTAAAGCTGAACGATTTTTTATTCTTTTGTGTCCCTGTACACACAGGGTTCGTCATTTTCGCAGACCTCTTCAGGTCTTGCTGTTACCGCACTATATCTCATCCCTGGCAACCAATATCTTCAACCTTTCACCTCGCGATAAAGTGTACAGTTGGTAGAATTACAACATATACCTAATTCTGACAAACTGATACCTACTCTTATAGAGGTTTCTCTGTGGTCATATTCGAAACATAGAATATTTTCAGACCTGAGTTTTTATTAGGCTATGCCATAGTATCCCCTTCTTGTAGTCCCCCCCCTTTGGTGAGCATTCTCCCGCTAACACAATCTCCTAGTTCTCCTAATCGATGAATCTCTGTCGTTGGAGAATCAAACAGTAAAACTAGTTTTTTTATGGTGATGGCGGATTTGCTTACCGGGCCGACTAATTCATCACTCCTGAGAACGATGGGTCGAAGCTCAGTTCAATAGCACAGAATGCATGATAAGGGAACTAGCTAATATGGTCAAGTCCCTACGATCTGTGCTCGAGTTCAGGTTCTCTCAAGTTTATTTGTTGTGATAAAAACAAACGATGCTGTAGGCGTTTCTACCCTCCTAACCGGTGATTTCGAAAGTCATCAGCATTATGAACTGTATCTGACTACGGTGATGCATTACAACGTCGTCTGAGAGCATTCAGCAGTCACGTGTGTTATAATTCTGCCTCCTCAAACGTGGTGATTTTGGTGTGTACTAGTCGGGTAGTGGTAACATACCCATCTGGTATATCTGATCCCGCAAATCGAAAATGGACAGGGCAAGAGATGTGTACTATTGACGAGCTTGGATTAGGGAGAAACTCCAGTCCAGCGCAATGCCTTTAGTGTGGACTCCCCGGAATACTGACGTCATGACAAGAGGAGGATTAATCGGACGAGGGTAAACACAAGCTTTTCGGACCCTGTGGCACACAGACTAGTGGACGATTCCGTATAACTTCTTTGTAATTGTTCAATGATTATTGCGGAAATCATGCTGGGTGGGCTACGATTTCACTCAGAGTCAGTCATCCAGATTTGAGAATGCATTTCGGCAGCCACCATACAACTCCTGCAGAACATAATTGAATACTGTCAGGTTTGAGCTGAGCGTGGACAATGTCAATCCAGCTGTTTCGTCGAGATTCGCACTAAGAACATTCCAGTCGAAAGGCCGTTCCGATGTGAGCTCAGTTGTCAGTCTTCACGTGAACTGTTTCAATTCATTCATTCTCCCAAGAGGCGAAGGGTGAATGGGAGTTTTCCGTCTCCCTGAGACATTAGGTCTCTCTTCTTGGGCTGCCATGGTGTGATACACTCGCCGTGTTCCACAATAAAGTAGTGAGTCACTCGTTGGATAAGAATTAAGACGATCTAACTGGAACGTATACAATGAGGATAGGGCTCCGGACGTGAGCGCCAGGTGTTTGACGATAATCTACTGTTGGGAAGTGAAAACAATAAGTTATAACCTGATTGCCCACGGCGTACTGGTTGGGTGAGCGAATCGCCGGTGTCAGATATAACGTTTGTCTAATTATGCGTACAACCGTGTGTTCCCGTTACTGTAACCCCGGGCAACAGCATTTTTGGAGAACAGGAAAGAAAAAATGGATGATCTCCATACGAAAAAAGTTAGTGTGCACAAAGATGGGGCTTTCCACATCTTTTGCAGACAGATTGTCGATACCATGTAGGCGGGTATCATTCTTTCCTCCATGGCAATGCACGTGCTAGCCCAAAAACCGATAGATTATATTCACTGATGGAGTGATTGTCCTTCGGTGGAAATCGGTCAGTGTTTGGAGCGTGAATTCACTTCTAGGACTGTCCGTGGTTCGAATCCAACCTCTACATCTCGGCTGATCCTGTCTAGGCTTGGGCAACTTGGCAGTGTCTCAGCCCTCGTGCTTCCTTCGGGTAGTATGGCAGTTGGGCGCTGAAAGGGTTTTATAGCTGAACGATTTTTAAAAAAAATTTCACTACTGCCCTCGGTTGGGGAAGCACCGTTCTCGTCGCCAGTAGACCTCTGTTCTAATCAGTGAGGTGTATCTCAGAAGTATGATCTCACCTTGTCTCTCCTCAGGATTCTAATTCGATCAGTCAAACAGGTGATAGGGAATCCATGTTTCGGAATGCGCGGAAGACGAAGGCTCACATTAAAAAAATCTTCACAGTTACTGTGACTTTTGTTGGAATGATGTCTCTTGATTCGCTTCGAGGCAGCCCGAACACAAGTGTTTGTATCCCCACCACGTTTGTTTTCCGTTTATCGCTCTGTATAAAAAATGTCAGTCAAACAGTTTCAACTTTTCGTTAGAAAAGTTTCCGAACGAGTTCACTGAACGAAAAACTGAGTTAATACTACGACGAAAATTTGTTTACTGTTTGCACTGACGAGACTGGCTGAAAGTTGGCGAAATTGCCTCTGCAAGATTGGTGGACACTCAGCGTATAGTCGAGAGCGGTCGACCCAGTGTGGTGATCGTGATGGGGGCTCTCATCATTCCAAAGAAGTGTGAGCGTTCCCGTCGGGGATTGTTTAATTTGACTAATTAGACTAAAATAGAACGAACATTGGTTTGTACAGCTAACAGATACATTTCTGTCTTAACAGAAACTGCACAGCCCCAATTTAATCTGATTACACTTTACTCCGTACATCGCACAGTCTGCCCCTATTTTTCCAAATGCATGTTTGCAAGCTTAGACAGAAGCTCTCGGTCAACTGTACATTGTGCATTCTGGTTGTGCTACAGAAAGCAGGTCTTGATGCATTAGACAAATGGATCTAACGCAAACACTGTGGGTTAAACAGCACACCATCCAAGCCCTAGTGTTTTCCGCTTACTAATACCACTACTAATCTTTCAGCTGTAATGCCCTCTCGGTGCTTATCGTTCACGCCAACCAAAGGGCGCACGAGGGCTGAGATGCTTTCAGGCCGTCCGAACCTAGATAAGAGCAGTCGAAATGCCAAGGTCCCGTTCGAACTACAGGCCTTGCGATCTGTAAGTTCGCGCCTTAGCCACTAATCCAGCTCTCATAGATTCACCGGGCTCATTCAGTAATTGTAAAAGCTAGAAAAAGCACGCCTTTGTTACTCTTGATGTTGTGATACCTCCTTCACGGCTGCTGACAAATGAAGTTCTTAGCTAGCAGACTGGTTTACTAACGTTCAATTCCGCTCAGACAAAATATCAAAGGTGAATGACTTCGACAAACAATTATTTGCATATCACCTGGGATTTTACGGGAGACTCAACTGAATATCTCGTTTATGGTATTCTTCAACCGAATGTGCTGCACAAAGGCCGCTTCATGTTTCAGTTGGCACGATATTTGAGATATCGCAGTATATTTTCATAAAACTCACTGTCGATACCTTTCCAATGTGGGTTCAAGAAAAACATAAGTTTGATGGAAACTCGGGGACTGCGTCTACGTGATGAGCCCCAAGAAGGGCGAGACCGTTCATGGGGTGTCGAAGAGTTTTCAGCAACCTTGTGCGTTGTCTTCTTTATGAAGATGTTTACAGTTCGGAGTATAACATTCGCAAAACAAGAAATATAGACAGGTTGTGCTTGCGTACATTGTGGGCAAAGCTGTGTCATGTGGAGCACGCGCTCTGCAAACGTTGTTACACTCCCCGCAAACAGAGCTCAGAATAAATCGCCTGTATTTCGGTTGAACCTTTTCTAGCCTACTTTGTCAACCGAACTTCCACCTACTCTTTTGTCCCGCTGTTTTTCCTTACATCTCACAGGGATCTATAATCATGATGAGTACTCACTAGTTCGTGAGCGGGACGAAACTGATCGAAGCCAAACTCTACGCAAAGGGACCACTGGGGCTGGAACCCTTGGTCGTGATCAGGACAAAATGGAGAAACTGAAGAGAAAACTTCATACGGATGATGACAGTGAGTTTCTTTCGGCATACAAGCACCACGTTTGATCAATACGTCAACATGCTTTGTCATTAAGGCTGAGGTCCTAGGTCTACTCAGTGTGTTTGAGTGTCTCATCACAGTATAACGAAAACCCCTTGACGATAATCGGTCACAAGACTAGTCTCTGTTGGAGGTTACCTCTCCCTGGAGGGATCACGGGCTAGTTCTTGGCTGATAGGGAGCACCAGTGTGGGCCCTCCACAGGTTTTATTTTTCTTCATTGAAGTATTTCCTCAAGGGGACGACTTTACAGTGCTTTTTATACTTTCTCCATCCTCTAATTGACCGCACCCCCAAGTTTGTGTTCCTAGCTTTTACCTCGGATTTTCCCGTAGATTTACAGGGCACCAGACTTAGGTCACATCAAGTCATACTTTGACAGTGTCTTTAAACTCCTGGTCGCTGTGAGATCTCTTCATGGTTTTGCTTCTGAACCGCAAAAGTCCAGCGACATGACAGTGAACAAATGCAGTTAAGGAATGCTGACATATTAGACTTCTATTTGGTACCACCTGACCGATGAGGTACCTTCTAAACCTGTTCCATCGTGGAGCGGATATTGGCTGTTCAAATTTTTATGTATAGGTAGGACTAGACAATCGCTCAACCCCCCTCTAAACTGCACACTGCTGGTTTCGCCCTGATTCGGGCTCCTCGGGCTGGTGTGTTCGCTCAGAATGAGGCTGATTTTTCAAGTAACGCTGGCGTTGTTCATTTTGCCCGTAGGCCTTATCAGGAGTAGGATAGGGTTCAGGTGTCTATGTACCGACCTGTCAGACAGAAAAGAGACGTCGCTATTCCTGTGTAAACTTGTTCTCGTTCCAGAGCCTATCACTTAACCCTGTCACCCTCGTTTGAATCCTTATGAGGTACTGACGTGATTTCTGGTGAACGTGTTCTGCGCATGCTTTATCCGTATCAGGAGAATGTCTGCATGGAATACCGTTCACATCAAGACGTCCCCTGATGTTATAAACCTCAGTTCTCACGATGATTTTTCAGTTGTTATCGCAGTTCATAAATAAACCTTTAGCTGTTAACGTAGTAGCTGGTGCGTGAAACCTCAACGCCGCGTTACGTGTGCCCGTAAAGAATCTGAACGGTTCTTCCCCATAGCTGCTCACCCAGTAGCCACAATGCATATATTATTCGGAATACTTAATCATTTTAGGCTTATCCCATAAGAACCTCTCTATGAACAGCGTTCTTCCACTTCTGGGGGGACTTCGTTTGGGAGACTGTTTAGTTCCTTCAGGATGGTGCTCCATCACATTACACTCGGATTATGCCCTAATACGTCAGCGGAGCATCCGCAGGTGAATCAGCCGAGGAAGTCATTGAAGAGGTAATCAAAAAACCGTCCAGTTGCACCATCCTTTCGGTACCTAGCTACCACTCGAAGGAAGCACGAAGGGTGCAGTAGTGCCAAGTTACCCAAGCCTAGACAGGGAAAGTCGAGATCCAGAGATCACGCTCTAACCACTGAGCAAACCACCGGATCCGATCCCTCTAGATTTCGTTTTTAACTAGCCGAGAGAGCAACAAAGCTTGGTAAAATAGGCGCCTGGAATGAGTACCACAATAGTGCGCCACCAGCAACTCTATAGCACATGTCGTGCGAGGAAGATACCGATGGACCTTCTGAACTTCTGCTTTCTTATAAAACTATACTTATTTCGATGTTCAAAGGGGGCATTATTGTTAATCTGTTCACAAGTTACCGCTTTTTTCAGATGCTGGAATATTGCTTTCTTTGGTTCTAAGATGGTCCCGTCAGTAGATGAACCACTTAGTTGTTGCTACTTTTCCAGTAATTAATCGAGTGTAGACAGAAGTAATTCTTATAAGCTTTTGAGCATCTGGCTTACCTCTGCTATCCAACCTCCAGGTATCCTCGGATTACGACACGGTTGTGGGATTTATCTCACACCGACCGAATCGGTTGACTGGGCCACCAACTGATACGCACAAGACAGCAGTACACGACAAGTATTTAGTCAAGACCGTTATGCTTAGCCACAAACCCATGCTCCTGAGTGATCTCACACATAAGGTTTTCGATTGCTTGTCATGTCGGTTCATCTAACATGGGTAGAACGTTGCCTTGTTGATAGAGTTTCAGCGCACCATGCTTCGGAAACCTGTGAATATGTTGGTAAACTGTCATTTTGTCGCTACTGTCAGAATGAGGGCAGTATACTTAAGAAAACCATAATTCAACCCTTGCATCACTTTCATTTGAACAGTAGTCTTTGTCCCCTGATCCAATCATTCTGGTGAATCTACCTACACCAAAGGGGTTGGGAAGCACTGGACTCTTATTAGAACTCATCTGCGTGGGTTTGAACCGCGGACATCTGACATGCAAGGCGAAGCTGTTAGCCCTCCTGTTCCACCAGCACACACTGGGCGCATCCGAAGCTTCATGCCTGAACAGGCGAACATGTTCACACTTGAATGGTGTGACCGATTGGACCGATGCCTCGGAACAGTGACTGGTCTATTTGGATCGATCGATTGTATTAAAAGCCCTACAGTGAAGAGAAGAGAAAAAGAGTGGGTGAGGGAGGGGACCTAGTGCTGGCCTATGTCAAGCATACTGAGGTGCCTACACCTCCAACCGCTCAATCAGACAATCTGGAAAGAAACTGACAGCACGAACGCCACTGACATCGCCTAGCCGCCATTTCTTGCAACGTCTCCAGCCAAGCACAGATGGGGTCACGGGGACCCCATCCTGGGAG